GAGATTAAACCCTTCAGCCATGCAAACCCTCAGAAATAAACACAACAATCAGACCATTCTGCTTAGAAACAATGTTTGGTCCGTCAGAAAACAGCCAAATAAACATAGCCCTGGACCATTCTGCCTAAAAACAATGCGCAGCCTTTGATTGACCCGGTCAATCGCATGCAAAACTGCCTTCCTCCCATCTTTCCCCCGTTCATCCCTCAATGTGCTTTCAATCAGAATAAGAAGAAACGTAAACTTTGCACACACATTCCTTCCGCTTAGTCTGATTAGGTCCTGAGAAGAAAGAAAAGTCATAGGGAAGCACATGCATACAATAGTCAAACTAGAGGGAGATAGTCAAGCAGGAAAGTAGTGGGTTCATACAGTCAGAAGGAGGTATACCTCACAGTTCCCTGCCTCCAGAACCTCGTCTACGTTCCGACAAAGCTCCCGTGATCGATGGTCGGACTCCCCACAGAGTCTTGATGCGGATTATAGGTTGTAATCCCGCCTGCCGCCTTCCTTTCCAAACCAACAGACCAGACGGAGCGTAAGAAGGGCAGAAGGAGAAACATTAAGACTCTCAGATCCAGAAGAGGTGCACCGAGACTCGCGTGAGAGGGCCTTGATTCCTTCAAACGTTCGAGGGTCTGCAATGATAGCCAAAGTGCACAGAAATGCCAACTAGGGTTAGAACGCTGAGCCACTGGCCCTGACAGTCCTCCGAACCGCAGCAAAGTGGCCAAATCACAATGGAATGGTCAACTTGTCGCCAAACGCAGAACAACGGCACTCTGATGAGCCTCCAAGCCTCGAGCAGTAACTCCCTTACTCAACTTGACCGCCCCTCTCAGGCCAGAATACCATATCCTCTAACGGAGATGCCCCTCGCACAACCTATAGGTACAGTCTTCGGATAGACCCCCCCCCTCTCTCCTGCGCCTGAGTCTAAAACCAGGTGGACTACAACAGTGCGCAGCGATAGCTCACCTGACGCAAGAGTAGCTGCTTTCCATCCCGCTGCAAGAGTTGCGCTTGTCCTATGTCAACCCGGCAGACGATTGCCGTTGTGATACTCAAACGAGCAGGCAGGCCGCAATAGCGAACTGGAAGGAGAATGAAGTAATGGGGTCCCCTGCAGACTGCGTTCGAACAGGACACAGGCTGTGTTCAAATAAAACTCAGGCTGGCCTCAGAAAATACAGTCAGAAATAATGCTCAATTTTGCACAACGGCAACTCGTCAACCGTTGACTGTAACTGTAACACGGACTGCTGAGCACTACAATGGGCCAATGTGGTTGGGTACACCGGGTCGCGGGATATCCGTCGTGGGATTTCGTGCTGGGGTGGGGTGAGGCATTCAGGTTTGAGTCCTGGGGCTTCACTTTCACCCCAGCCCACTTAGCCTTATGGTTAGGTGTCTGCCCGCTAAGCCGTTGACAGTGTGTTCAAGTCTTGGATTCGTCACATGCTTACTCGCAGTAACCACCGTAGAAATAGTACTACGGAAGTGTGGCTGCAACAGTGGAGTGGAAGTGTGGTTGGGTACATCCGGTTGCGGGATCTCCGTCGTGGGATTCCGTGCTGGGGTGGGGTGAGGTATTCAGGTTTGAGTCCTGGGGCTTCACTTTCACCCCACCCCACTTAGCCTTATGGTTAGGTGTCTGCCCGCCAAGCCGTTGACAGTGTGTTCGAGTCTTGGATTCGTCACAATGGCAGTATAGGATAACAGCTCCGTTAATAACTCAACAAAAGGACCACCAAAACAGCGAGCTTTGAAAGAAAACCGTACTAATAAGCTCAACATTAACTCTAACTCAAGGAACTTCGTACAACAGTTCAACCTGCTCTAACCCCCGACGTCCACAGACTCACTTAATAGTGTCGGCGACTTCCTCAGATCCCTGGCCAAATGCAAACAAGTTGAAACAACTCATCAATGCGATAGTTAGGTAAGTATCCGCTTGTCCAGAGAGTATAGTTGCACCGCTACGCTCACGAGTAGACCTCAGTATGCACTGTAATGGCTACCGCAGTAAGCAATACAACAAGCAATCGACGAACGTGACAGGCAGCTTAACAATCATGTTGGCAAACACAGAGACGAGTAGTATCACAGTCATCAGAAACAGGGTTGGGGTCGCAACCACCAACCATAGAATCAAGAAAGATATTTCTGTCTCTCAATCAGACAGATTGCTCTACCAACTAGGAACGACCATGCAGAATTACGAGGTGAGTTTACTATCCCCCTTTTTCATCTCTTCTCTCCCTTTTTTTTCCAGTTCCTACATTCGAACGCACGTGGTCATTAATACGGCCAGGTTTGTTCAAACTTGTTAGTAAAAGAAGGTAGGGACAGAGTCACAAGCGGGACACGCAACAGCACGCGGGGTGGGATAGCCAACAGGATGGCTACAGCCTACAAGCACAATCGTGCGATGAATGGCCTCGGCGATCTTGCAACACGAATCTTTATACAAGAATGGGTGAAAATCTTCTGCTAGAACATGAATAGATACATCGCCTGCACAATTGCGACATTAGTGTCGCCCAGGCCGGGCAAAACACAGGAGGGCGACGATCGTGACCTTGGTGCACAACGAACGGGAAGAGCTGCGAACTGTGATCGGCTGACCATTCTCGTAATACGAAAATGAATCGTCTAGTAAAGTGTGCGAAGATACATCCCCATATTTTTTTCAGATTTGTTCCCGTAAGTTCCACACAGTCCCGGTTCTCCTGCTACTAATACTAACTTTTCTTTGCTAATACTATTGTCACTACCAGAGTCGCAGTACCCGTGATCTTTTACCTATAGCTCTATCTCGCCAGGAGTCCTAAAGAACCGAGTGAAATCCAGCCCCGCCATATCCTTCTTTCTAACACCTTCGCGCACCGCAGTTCTCTCCAACCACACTTCCTACTACTTCGCTGTTCTATCCAACCGCAGATTTGGAATCGTAAATCCTGATAATCCCCGGCTAACACTTTTACTTGCCCGAAACGATTCAGAAAACAAGAAGATCAGCAAACTTTCGTTCTTCCCTCGGCGTCTTCCCCGACCTCTCCCCGCACTCTATTAAAGTCTATTTCTCTTTTATCTCTCTATCTACTACCCTTCTTCCAAAACTATCTTCATATTCAGGCTCGCCAACCCTTAAAACCCGCACTTAGGCTCCGCCCTCGCCTAATTCCATGAAGGATTCCGCATGTTGCCATGTCCTCGCTGCGCCCCCACTCGTCCCTCACCATCTGCGTCGTCGAACGCACCCAGCGCGTATTCGCGCCTAGGTTCCTTCTGCCTTTTCCTCCCTCCTACTCGTTGCCCGTCACTTCCTTTCCTTCCTCACTCTGGTGGTTGTCCGCTTCGCTCGCTTGACACGAGTTAGGCTCTGATCCGACTACTCTTCTTTTTGGGGAGACACCTCTCCCCGCGTTGTGTGGCGTCCCCGAGACGTTCGGAGGTGTGTGGAAACAAATGACGACGTGGCTGTCCGTCCGCGACCCTCACCTCGGTAGTTGCTACCGAAAACAAGAAGACTTCTCTTCTTTTCAGGGAGAACCAAAAAGAACCGCTTCGGGCGGGTCCGCCCCTTGAGGAATGGAAAAGTGATTTCGGATCCCACTTGGCCAGCAATACCGGGACTTTTACGATTTTGGCGGCGGACCAAGGGGAAAGGAACGTGCTGTCAAATAGAGGAGAGGACCAGGTAGCCCACCGGATTTTGGGGAAAAACAAAATTGCCCATCCTCCTCTTTTGTTTTCTGGTAGAACTACTGCAGCGTGAGTCGCGGACAAACTGCCACATAGATATTTGTTTCCACTCCCCTCCGAGACCTACGGGAAGACCTGAGAAAGTGGGAAGAAGTGGGATCCCAGAAAATGCCACTTCTCCCCAAAAAGAAGAGAGGTCAGATCAGCCCCGCCAACCCCCGTCCCTCATCCAAAAAAGAAGGCGTGTTTTTTTTTTTTTTKGTTTTTTTTTTTTTTTTCCCTTGTCCGTTGGTTTGTGGCAGGAATGTCCATGGTCCCAAAACTTGTGTGACAGTGTCATCGTATCCGGTAGGCCGTAGCCACGGCCACGGTCCCACGGGTCCCATAGCCTGCCAGTGGGTGTGGCCTTGATTTTGAAAGTTGCCAGTTCGTTCGTACAACGCCAGGATTGCCATCGGCAACCGTACAACATGCCATACCCTTCCATCCACGCCTGCTATCCATCGCCTACGCGTGTTGGTCCGCCTGTTGCACGCATCAGCATTCGGCGGTGGTGGGAGATGCCATACCCACTTCCTCCTCGACCACGCTCCCGAAGCTCGGTGCAAAACTCCTACTCTCTGACACCGGATAGTGGGCGCGCAGTGTTCTGCTTGCCATAGCCATCGTTGCGCCTGCATCTTCCCATAGCCCTCTATGGACCTGCATCTTTCCATAGCCGCCACTGCGCCTGCATCTTGCCATAGCCATCGTTGTGCGTGCATCTTGCCATAGCCCTCGTTGTGCCTGCTTCTTTCGTGTTTCCATTCCATCCTCGTGGGTGCTTTGTAGTGTCCGTCGTTGTTGTGGGAGTCGCATTCCCACACCTATACCGAGGTTGTGTGGAGTTTGTGTTCTCTGCCACCAACATCGAACATCAGGTGTGTCGGCGCAGTGGGAGTCGAATCCAGCGGAGCAGCTGCCACGTGCTTCAGCTTCAGATAGGTATGGACCACCACCGTTCGACCCAAGGCCGCCGGTCACCCACGCCGTCGCCGGCAACGAACGCGAGCAGCATCCACGACTTCCCGCCATCTTCAACCTCGCAGTATGGGCTGTCCTCGAATATCGTTTCCCACCGACTCGACTGCACAGTAGGTCGACCTGCCCCCCCCGTGCCGGGAGGTTTGCCGCCATTGCCAAATTTCAAGAATTTCCACACTTCCGCGTACAACACACAGACGAGAAGAACGACGACTGGCAGTTTCAGCGCGTTAATCGGCGAAGCTGACAACTTTCCATGATCACGTGGCGGCACTGCCGCTCCAGAGCAGTCTGCTGTTGGCTCATCCGAACTTCCATGGGGGATGGCACGTGAAGGCCATGTCCACAGTGGCGGGCAGGGCATACCAGGCGCAGGGGATGGACAATACTTTATGGCAGATTCGGCAAGCGCGTTGGCGGATGAGAGGCCTGCAGCCGGCGTGTCCACCACACATTTTGGGGCTGATGGTCGTCAGACTGCGGCCTTTTCATCACAGCCACGTGGCTTCCCCCCACCACAAGTGCAGGGGAATCCTTCCACGGATAGCCCCAGTCGTTTGTCGTTGCCAAGATCACCATCGCCACGTGGCCTCCACTCCTTGCATGTGCACAACAATCGGCGGTCGGACAGTCCCATTCGCCAGCGCACACCTCCCGTCGACGTTGCGTGGGAATCACCGACGAGCACATCCGTTCCCACGGGTGTCGAAGAAGGTAAGGAGGAGGGGGCATGCATGGACGCCGGCATGGGTGATGCGTGGGCGGTTGATGACGTCGACATTGCTGCCACACAATGCGGTGGAAGTGCCACGATCGACAAAGATAATGAAGCAAATATCCCGGCTGCACAAGTGTCAGAATCAACCGCCCATGAACGCGGGGGTGCAGTGCCGGATGGTGGTTTCCGTGGTGGAAAAAGCAATGGAAAGGGGCAGCAAAAGAAGAGTTCGGGTGATTGGGGGTTCGACGAGAGTCTGGCTTTGCTGCGCTTGCTATTCGAAGAAGACATGATGCAACAACAAAGGCAAGGGAGGCAGAAGATGAGGGGGAGGAAGGAGAAATACGCGTGGATCATTAGCAAGCTTAAACAACTTGGTATCGATCGTGGGCAGGCAGAATGTGAGAGGAGGTATTATCTCCTCCTCGACCACGCAAAAAGGATCCGGGATTTCCATGGATGTTCAGGAGAGCGCATTTCTTGGAACATGAGCAGGACAGAAAGGAGGGAGTGTTTCCTCCCTCTCACTTACGAAAAACAGTATTTCGACGCCCTTCATTCGAAGCTTCAGAAGAAGGACGGGTCCTGCGAGGGTCTCATGCAGTCCGTTCATCTGCAAGGAGGAGGCAGTAATGCGAACACAGATGACGACGATAATGGAGGAGGGGGGGAGTCTGGTGCGCCTCGCAGGAGGGTGGACAGCGATTGTCGTGATGGATCCAAACACCGACACACCGGGGGAGGTCGAGGACATGGTAGGGGGCGCTCATCGGACAGTTCATTGGAGGAACCACTCGGGAGCTCTTCGCCCTTTCATTTACAGTCTCTTGTCGATGCCACGGACCAACAAGCGGAGAAACTAGCTGGTAGTTTCGTTAACGCCATGGATGGTCTTAACAAAACCATGGCTGCAGCCTGCAGGGAATGCCACACTTCTGCAGTGCTTCACGATGCTTGTTGGGTCGATGGCGGGACATAATGGATCTGCTCGCGGCAGTGGTGATGGTAACGGCAGCGGTGATGGGCGTCACACAGGCGGGATGTCGAAGTGACATGTTTGTGGTATCGGTCCGGACCTTGCAGGATTCCCGTGCTTCGATGTTCGTGTAGAGTTTGGGTTCGAATGCTGACTTTTTTTGTGTTTTTTTTTTTTTTTTTTTTTTTTTTTCTGTCCGTGCAGCCTGGGTGGCGTCCTTTCAGCATTTTTAGCGCAGGTGGTGCTTTGCCGACGTAGCGGACACAAACTGACCACTCTCGGATGCCACCTGTCGTGCCTCGTCGACTTCTTGCAGGGTAAATACTCGGTTTGAGGCGCTTCATGTCTTCCCAACCCATAACTGGTGTCTTGGAGGTCATCGACATGGCGGGCGATTTTGCACTCACCCATAGACGTTTGATAGAGCAGGCCCACGAGCGTTCGAGGAAAAGGGGTGTACTGTTCACACGTGTGTCAGAGATGGCAGGAGAGCTAAAAAGGTTGCAGGGAGAGTTGGAGAGCGCGAACATGCGAGAGGCCGTCGCGCTTTCAATAGCGGAAGAAACAGAAAGAACGGTGGCCGCACCGCGGGAGGAGGTGGCACGTTTGCAGCACCAGCTGTCACTCTACGAGGACGGCTCCATGCATTTGTCGGCCGACAGTCACATATTTGTGAGCTCTTTTCAGAGCCCTGGAGGATTGCGGCCAGCCACCGTCGCAAGAGTGCATGTCTCCATCGGCCATGCGGCATCAGCTAGCCCGTCAAGAGCTCAGTTGCACCGGCGTCTGAGCACGTCTCCCGCCACTGCCCGTTCTCCCCACGCCGCCACCCTTCCGTCTCCAGATGTCAATCGCCGTGAGGTCACGGCTGTGGCAGATCAACTGCGAAGGGTGATGAGCATGGACGGTCAATCGTCACAAGGGCCAGGCCGGTGATGGCACATCGTTACGGACATGACGTCACATAACCGAGCCTCGGGATAAGCTGAACTTCGAACGGGATGGCAGGCACAGAGTAGGGTGGTTGTGATGGTCATTGACTGACGTTTTTAGGTTCGACGACCTTCGAATACAATCGCCTAGGATAGCCCGCGCGTGAAGGTTTGCGGCTACTGCAGTGTTTTTTGGCGAGTTGCACATGTTGTAACTGTGATAGGCCTATGTTTTGCAGACGGGTGTGTGAATGGCAGACGTAATTATACCGATGTTTAGTGGATCAATTTGCTTTTTTTTTCCCCCTCATTCGGGTGGCAGACGGGTGAGGAAGAGACGGCGGTACAATACCTTTGTGGCAATTTTGGATGTTGTAGCTGTTATAGGCATATGTTTTGCTCAGGATAAATGAATGGCAGATGTAATAGCGATGTTTAGTGGATCAGTTTGTATTCCCCCCCCCCCTAGTTCGGGTGGCAGACGGGTGAGGAAGAGACGGCGGTACAATGCCTTTATGGCAATTTTGGATGTTGTTTTTCAGAATTTGAATATTTTAGTTCCGTTGCCGATCCACGGAGTGGACGTTGTTTTTTATTCGAGTTCATGAATATTTGTGCAACGGGAAGATTTTTCCTGAATGCTGGGCTGTTCCCATTTCCATGACATGCATTGCCTACGGTAAGGGGCATGGCGGGGCCACGGGAAGTTGGTGCCCGGTCGGGTTAGGGCCGTCAGTCCACATGGCAACAAAGGTAAGCACATGTCTTAATTATACATCATTCGTCCGTCAATCCACGCAACCCGATCATTCAGTTGCTCAGCCAATCATCCCTTCAATCAAGCTACAACAAAACCTGCAATCACGGCTCAACGATGGAGTACTTCCTGTTCCTATCGTAATACGCCTCCGCCTCATCGCCACGCGGTTTGTCTATATAGATATGAGCACAATCTATGAGACCGAAACATCCCGGGAACCCTTTCCCTTCAAAATAATCAAGAGTCGCTTGCAGCCTGAACCCCCGTCGACCACAAAATCTTGTGTGCGTACTCCGCCACAAATTTCCTAGCGACGTCGTCCGTACATCTCACCGCGCTATGCAAACCCATCCCGAAGTCGTTGCCACACTGTCTATAATAACCACCTGTTGCCCATCGATAAAGAGCGAATGCAAACTTCAGACCTGCCGACATTGCGTTCCTGAAGCTGGTGTTCATCCTCTGGATTCTCGGGGCGATTGTTTGTAGAACTTCATTGAACACGGCCTGTGTCAGGCGAGTGTACCACATGGACTTTGTCTCGTGCCCCATTCCACGCATGTTCAACTCCTCCCAAGTGCCCCCTACTATGTTCCGTACCCAGAACCTTCGCCTGCCCCTGCCTCTCAACGGAGGGAGACTGTGGACAGCGACGCTTGCAACCTCGTGGTCACAGTGTGCGAGGAAGCAGAACATGGTTGTGGTGATGTGCATGGTGACGATGGTTGTCAGGACGTGCATGAACATGAAAGCCGACATGACACCCACTTGCTCCCTCAACTTCAACCAACGAATAACGGCGGCGAGTACCATCGCCAACTTCAAAGGTGTCATATTTTGTGAAGCTATGTCCGAAGGATGGAGATATAGTAGGTGGAACAGTTGAAATCGTCCACGTGTTTCAGCGAAGTTGTGCAGACGTGGTTGCACTACCATGCTTTGCTAATCACGTGTGAATGGGAACGCACACCATGCATCAACGACGACGCACACCACGTCAACCTTCCCACAACACCGCACCCCCCCAGATGCAACACGCGCGACGTTGACCTCCTGACGATGGCACGCGCGCACTCGCGCGCACGAGAGAGAGAGAGAGAGAGAGAGAGAGAGAGAGAGAGAGAGAGAGAGAGAGAGAGAGAGAGAGAGAGAGAGAGAGAGAGAGAGAGAGAGAGAGAGAGAGAGAGAGAGAGAGAGAGAGAGAGCACTCGCGTACTCCATCCATGACAGCCCAGTCGTCTTCGCTTGCGATCTGCCACGCGGCAGGCGGAGGGACTTCGCAGGAGGACGACTGCAGCAACCCGTCCCACCGGATGTGATTGGTACGGGCGGAACAGCTCAGTACCCAAGCGCAAGTATTGGTATGGCCCGATACATGTCACTTGCACTCGGTGAAAAGAAGCCCAAGTTCCAGGCCGGCGGGTACCACACACTGTGTGAATGACGACACCAACGAAAGGCCACACATCTCTGTCGCTCGTGTCTCAACGGTCGGGGGAGTCCCCACGCTGTGTCCAGGAATTCCCACCGACTGCCCGCCAAGAAGTCTCGCCTCACAATTCGAAAAAGTGCCCAAAAGATCGGCCAAGTGGGATTGGAGTTTTCTTTTCCCCTACCGACGGACCAGGCCCGTGCACTGCACTTCTTTTTCAAACTCCCCAAAAAGAAGAGTAGTCGGATCAGACCCTTAGACGACCCGACATCGACAATTCCGACAGCCACCTCTCAGCGCTGCTCAACCGCTCCGACTATCCTGAGAGAAATTCGGAGGAACTCGGCTACTACGGTGCGACAGGCCCTTAGCCCCTACGTGCCAGCCCGACAGACGGCCCGCATATCGGTGTGGCTGTGACCTCCGCCAGCATTTCCCTCCAGTTGCTCTGCTTGATCAGAGCTCTCCCTCTTTCGGGATCCCAACTGCACACACGGTGACACACCCAAACCCTTCACAACAGGCCATCGGCGGTGGGCGGTATATTGCAGAGGGCCCCGCCACCCAAGTTTTCTTCTGGCTCCTGCGGCTATTCACCCCTTTGGCCCGCACGCACATTGAATTCCACGGTCCGCGTCTCAAGACGGGTGGAGTAGAGGAATTTCGCTAGCATCCTGAACACGGGGAATCCGGACAAGCCCGTCAAAAGGGGCGAGTGGTCAAAGTTTCTTGACCGCCGTTTTAAGTCTCTGTGCACAACCCCAGGTGGGTAGCCGCCTCTTAATCCCTGCCCTAGGCATAATTCACCTTCTCGCAGGCCCCGACGGGCATGCTCACACTCAAACCTCTCACCGGAGATCGTGGTTGGTGGGCCACTTAGCCTTTCCCCAACTCATGGGTCAGTTACCTCCCTCCCCGCTGTCGGCAACCGCACCACCTGGCTAAACCGGCGGCCCCATCAGTGGTTCCTAAAAACAACGCCACACCCTACTCAATAAGGTCAAACAACTTTAATAATAATAATAATAATAATAATAATAATAATCTTAAAATTCTAATCGCAAAAATCAAAAGACAAAACCGCATGGCGAGGGGAGGAAAAAAAATTGCAAGTACCACCTCGGCCCTGTGCAGCAAAACCATAGGGTACAGCCCCATCAAGCCCTCAACCCCTAAGCTCCTCCTACCCACCCTGATACTCCTATGCTGCCGCCGCTGGCCTTGATCCCTAAATCTCTCTGTTGGAAGTTCGATATCATAACCAATAGTACTAGGCCCAAGGCTGAGCCTAGTGCTAACGGATTTATATACAAGTGGGTGCCACGCGGCGCGCGGGTCTACTGAAACGTTTCAAGGCCGCACTCTCATCCTATCAACTAAACCTTCGGTCGCCAAGCCTCGCGCCTACCGCGCAGTCGCTCATCTCCACCCTTCTACCTTTACGTTCCTTTTCGATCATCATGCAGAACTGTGCCGTTGTCGACGTCGCCCTCTATATGTATGCACATATCATAGTCAAGCCTTCCAATCATCAGACATTGTCAACCTTTTAGTCTTAGTTTACTCAAAACTAAAAATTTCGCCGACAACCGCACCAACTGTACAATCTTCAACAAGAAAAGAGATAACGCGCGCCTTAATTATGCGCGCCCACACACTCTCTATTGTATTCAACCATTCAATCAACCTAAATAATCAGACACAACCGCGAGTCACACGGTATACTCAGTCTATAAATCAAACTTATTCTTTTTATCATTAGACACCCTTAGATGAAAGAGTGGTATTTCAAGCTTGGTAGTCACTGATGACCACCTACCACCTATCCTACACATTCAATCAAGGTTGTCAATGCAAAGCTATAGTAAAGGTGCACGGGGTCTTACCGTCTAGCTGCTGGTACTCCGCATCTTCACGGAGAATTCAATTTCACTGAGCCCATGTTGGAGAGCATGTCTTGCTGCGTGCCTGGAGAGGCGTGCAAAAACCAAGGTGGATACCCTTGTAAGGGTATTCACACCGACAACTTGAACGCAAATTCACAAGGAAAGACAATGCCACCCAATTGCGAAAGAAATTAAAGCACTTGCAAAGAGATGGAGACCAAAGAAGAAGATGAAGAAAAACGAAAGAAGAAGAAGAAGAAGAAGATATATATATATATATGTATATATATATTGTTACGATCCTAGTTATTTCCGAAGTGCAAGTTCACAAGGAAAAACAATGTCACCCAGTTGCGAAAGAAATGAAAGCACTTGCAAAAAGAAGGCGACCAAAGAAGAAGATGAAGAAGAAAGATAGAAGAATAAGAAGAAGATGTACACCAACAAGACCGATGACAAATGCCCCTTCTTTCTCCACTTTCCTCCTCCTTCCTGTCTCCGCCAATCTTATTCGTCTCCAAAATAATAATAATAACAATGAGTGGTCAAACCGGATTCAATACCCGAAGTTCACTCGTACTGCCATCACAACCACATGTCCACCATAGCCATGTCTTCCCTCTTTACCTTCCTCTCACATGCCATGGCAATGGCGGACTACTAAGGGCTTCACCCTTCTACGTATTTGACAACATAAAGTAGTTATGGTCGTTGTTCACCAAACCGCCATGCCTGACTCTGCCTTAAAGCTTCTTTGGTGTGGCACTACCCCAATTGGGGCCTTCCCAATGCAGCGCCTAACAAGGTGATGAAGATGGTGTCCACCGTAGCCAGGTAGGTACCTCGCCACTCTCCTCTTCGTCCTCCTAGGCAGCACTTTCATACCAGCGCCTGCTCAACCCGTAAGTCGCCCAACCTTACACACTGCAAATGAGGAGGACCTACTCGCTCCTCCTGGAGATAGTATAGCGGCCTATTTGTCTC